TTCTCCTGGGGCTGGGCTGCTCAGGCGGGGCTGCCTGCCTCTGCCAGAGGTAAAAGAATGAGGATGTCAAGGCTGGTCGGGAAATATTTGGTTTTTTTGTTTTATTATCTACTTTCATTACCCTCTCCGTGGGGTTTTTTTTGGCCAGCGTAGCGCAGTGCCCTCCGCTTTCGTGCGCTCGCTTCACTTAGGCTCTGAGGACTCACAGCGTGCTCTGCAGTGTCATGCTTTGGTTAAAACATCCAGTACATAAAGAGGAGAACAACAGGGTGTTGTTCTTTTCTGCACGGGTCAGTTCCCAAATATACATAGTTGCTGAGAGTTACAGGAAACTGGAAAGCAGTGAAAGAAGCAGTTAGGACCCAAATCTGCTTAGGTTGGTAGGATTTTTGTCACTGTCTGTTGTCCTGGATACAGGGTCCAGACACCTGTGAATTAAAGTTTGTGTAGTAATTGTTGTAATTATTAGAAAAAAATGCAAGAACATGGTAGAAGTGGTGTGAGAAGGTAATTTTGCTCTCTTGCCGTGCTGGGATACAGGAGATGCTTTGACTTGTACTCCTGTCTGTGCCTTTTGTCTGTGGGCTGACCTTGGACAAGTCACTTTGGCTTCCAGTGCTGGCCTTGATATCCACGTTTCTAGGACAAGGATGACGATAACAGTCTCCATTAGAGGAGAGATGGAGCCTCTGAGATCCAGCAATCGAACATGCCCTGTGATAGCTGTGCCTTAATGATGATAAGTGGGGGAAGCAGATACACAAGTTTTCTTCTGTGTGTGGGAAGACAAGTCGCAGACTAGCAGCAAGGCGGAGGGATGATATCACAGGATGCTGCAAGGTGGATTTCTAGATTTATTTTCTTTTTTTTTTTTTTGGTTTTCCACTGCAATAGATTGAAAGCGTCCTGCCCAGCTGGGTGAAGAAGGTGCACTGCTTTTTTGGGCAAGTTAGGACAGTTGTCCTTGGGCCACCTACAGCCTTGTCTTACTTGGAAGCAGAATAGCCCATGAGGGGCTGGGCTGCTGCTGCTTCACTGGTGCTGCCTGCCTTGTGCTTTTCAGGGTGGAGCTAAGGAGGGGAAAATCATTTTGCCCAGGAGCAGCCTGGCAGAAGAAACAGGAGGCATTCAAGAGGTTCTGCTGCTTGGTGAGGGGGTGATGCCGGACTTTGACTGTGTATCTCATATCCACAAGTGTGCCAGGCTTGGCATGTCAGCTGGTGTGCTCTGACGGAGTGCAGTAACGAGCCTGCTTTCGTAAGGATGCACTGAGCAGAACACACAGTGTGCTTAGGGACATTTTGCTTTGATAAGAAAGTGTTTGGTACACCAGGGGTCAGATTCTTCAGTGGCAGTGGTTGATCTTATGTTCCTTCTGGTTACACTGAATCAACATAATTTTAAGGACAAATTGCAGTTCAGAATATATGTGCTACCAGGCAGACATGCTTCAAAACACAGATCAAGACCCCTCACTAAGGCTGACAATTTTCCTTGTGGGGTGCCTTGCAGGATTGAATGCGTAGCAAACATTTTCTTGTTTTGCAAGTGTTGCATTCTGCTGGTCAGGCCCTGCAGCCTGCACTGTGATGGGTACAAGGAGACCAAGACCAAACTACTGGCCTGCTGTGGACTGGTTATAGTGGCCTGCTGTGGTTTGGGATCTGCCAGCTATTGCTTGTGCCCCTAGAGACAGGGACCAGAGGGACGCTTCAATACAGTAGCTGAGCAAGCACTGAAGAGCATCACCAGAAGGCTATTCTCAGCTGCTTATTACACTTGTTAATTTGAATGAGGTAAGAAAATACGTGAATTTTTTAAGGTATGTCCATAAAATGGTAAAACTTGTCGTCTATATACGTTTTAAGTATGTTAAGGTACTTTAAGAGAAAAGTATATGGAGCTGATAAGGAAAGCACATCTGGCATACTTTTATGGGTAACCCCAGTTGTGTTACATCTGTTTTCACATGCAGGCAATCTATCTGCAAACTTTGGTAGAGCTTAAATCAATTTTCATCTGACAGATCAATGAGACAGATGCAAAAGGAATAGGTTTTTCAGCAAGATGCTAAATGTGGACCTGTGTTGCTGCTCTGGTTAGAACTCCGCTGGTTTTGTGCCTGTTTTCTTATTAGCATCTGATCCCCTATAGGAACTGGTGTTGTGTTTTCTTTTTTTCTCTCCAGACTAACATATAGACTTAAAAATAGAATCGGGCATGGTAAAACAGTTTAAAATCTTAGTCCAGCAATGAGCGTTCTGTTGTGGTGCTCTCAGCTCACAGAGCCCATGGGTGCTCATAAAATTCTTTACTCTGCGGATCTGTATGTGCAGTGCGATTTTAGAGATGAAAGCGATCGCTGTGTAGATGTAATGCTTTGAAGTACTAGCTGAGCTAAAATCCCTTTGACATTTTTGGGGTTAAGCACACAGTGTTTCTTTGGGTTCTTTTAGCGCCTTGTGAGAGTTGTACTTTTCATGTGATGGCAGCAGATAACAGAAGAAAATAATTGCAGTTTTTAAGAGTAAGCACCTTCTAAAGAAAAAAAAACATGAAAAATATTAATTAATGTATTGTTCTGCTATCATTCTGAATATGCATCAGGAAAGACGTTAATGTATGGCTGTGAGAGCCAGCCCTGGTGCGCCCCAAGAGCTGGGTTCTTCTTGTAGAGTAGCAAAAGGTGCTGAAGTGGTGACAGCTGCCCTTGGACTTGTTTCATATGGCATCTGGAAGGCAGGCAGGTCCCTGCCTGGGGACTGAGTGGCCTTTTCAAGCCTCCCATGGGCCATTTTTCTCGGATTTCCGTCTTAGTACCTGGAGGCTTTTTTAGTTTGCAGTTGACAGCCAACCTGACATGGAGGGTGGGGAAGAATAAACCAAAATGTTAGTTTCTCAGACAGCAGAATTATATGTGTCAGGCCAGGGCTGCAGGAACCTAAAAATTTCTTGTCCTGCATGGGAGGGAGGGAAACAAAGTCCTGGAAATACGCTCTGTGCCTTTTGAGATCTTGCTTTTGTCACGTGGGCGCAGTGCTGAACTGGCAGTGGGGATCTCCTCTCTTTGCTTGCGTGCTTGTCCCTTCTCCTGTTACTCCTTGGTTTGACTTTCCAAGTTGAGAAAGAAGGTTTTTAATTTCTTTAGGTTCATATGTGGTACCTCCCCCAGGAAACAGGTGAGCAGGTGGTCCCTTGGTTGGTGTTTGGTTTGTGAAGGCTGCGCTGAGGGACTGTTTCAGCAGAACCGTGCGTTTCTACGCTCGGCAAAGCCAATGGACGTTGCTGCATTTAAACTGGAACAAAAGCACTGGTTATGCCCAGTCATGTGTGTTCTGGCCGTCACCGGTGTCCCCTTTGGTCGTCATGTGCGAGGCCCAAGAAATTGTCACTGAAGCCCCTCCCCCTCAAAAGTTCTTTTTTAAAAGTAACTATGGACGGAGTTGAGCGAACCAGTGTGTGGCAGAAATGAGAAATTGCTGTATGTATCCTTTTTAATTTTACTTACCTTTATTATTATAACCTTTGCCTTTTGTCACACCAGCCTTGCCATCTGATCTTCGTTCGCTGAAAGTTGCTGTAAAGGCTTGAAACCTTTTGCATCTCCACCCCATTTTTTTTGGTAGTGAAGAACATACAACTGAGAAGGGTAGTCTTAAAGATTAATGATAATGAAGTAATGGGAATTTATGCTGCAATGAAAGATTTAGTGGTGTATTTGGGATACAGAACACTATTCTGTGTGCTAGTTTTCTGATGATGCTGCTTTTCAACACCATTGGAATTTATCTTTCTGTACATTTTCCAAAGGAGCATATAAAAGGGCTTTACATGCATACATGCTTCAGCTGTCATAAACCAAGCAGATAAATAAATAGAAATATTTTTTTTTATTTCTTAGAAGTAGTGGTTTTTTACTTCCTCAATATTATGCTGCAGACCACTTGCCTAGGTAAGAATAGACCTCAGACTTGGTTTCTAATGTTAATTCAGTACCCTCTTTTCCGTACAAATATTTTATTTAAGTTTACAAATAAAATTTAAATTCCTGCTTCCTCAATGTATTTCAAGTTTCACTCAGTGACTTAGCTAATCACAGAATCACAGAATGTTAGGGGTTGGAAGGGACCTCGAAAGATCCTCTAGTCCAACCCCCAGCTTTATGTCCTGAAGTGCTCAAAGAGATTCTGTATTTCACCTGTGTGCATTTGGGAAGGAGAGATGCGAGCTCACTTGTGTTGCAAAATTGTGAGCGGCCGCAGCGTGCAATCAGCATGAAATCGTCTTTGGCTCCCTCTTTGATTTTGTTACACTTTGCTATGGAAGAATGGGATTTCAGGTAGTAATGTTTGCTCTTTATTCCTTCTGCTGTGATTAGAACCCAGTTACGGGGCTGCTCTCAGCCGGTACGGACCATAAGGATGCCTGGGTACGGGACAACGTCTACAGCATCCTGGCCGTGTGGGGCCTGGGGATGGCTTATCGGAAGAACGCAGACCGGGACGAGGATAAGGCCAAAGCCTATGAGCTCGAGCAGGTATGTCAGAGGTCAACATAAACCATTTATGCTGTGTGTTTCTGTCATATAGTAGCAGTTTTGAATGATGCATTGACATTGCTGCTCTGTCTAGGATCAAAGTTTTCCCAGCTTGGAGTAGGTGTCTTATTCCTATCACGGTTGGAATAGATGATCTTAAGAGGTCTTTTCCAACCTTAATGATTCTATCCATGCAGCACACGTATCGTGTTCCTGTCAGCCCTCTGGCAAGCAAGATTTGGAGAACTGTGGCAGAGAGGCTAACATCTGAATTAAAATATAAACAAACTTCCATCAGTTGGCCCGTTGTTGAAAATTAGACTTCTGAGAGATTTTAAACCCAGATTTACAAGCCTCTGGTTAAATCTTGAGATCCTTTGAGGTGTGTTAGGGAGCGGAAAATCAAGCCTGGGTCACCTGGATCCTAAGGCAGCAATTTATCTGCTAGACAATTTTTCATGTAAGGAGAAGCATCCCCTTTAAAGTAGCAATCTTTGAAAGTCCACTCATGTCATATCATGGACATCAGATGTAGTGTATAGACTTGTTTGATCAAAGCAGACAAGACGATCTCCAAACTGATAAGGCTCATAGGCTTTAGAATTGGAAGGGGAGGTAACTCACACAGTTAATTTCTGTAATCTGCAGCTGAGAAAATGAGTATCAGAAGTGAGAGTGTTGAGGGAGGGTGAAATGGGCAGTGAGGGAGTGTTGGTGTCAACGTCCTGTTCTTGTTCTGAAGGCACTGGGAAAATTTTGTGCTGATGTGTGTTGTTCAAACCGGGAAGATCTGGGGTGACAGAATAACCTTGACTTGGCTGGCATGGTTGTATTTTGAAGCTATAGTAATTTTTGGATGAAAAGATGGGATTGGTTTCTTCCTTTAAGACAAAATCTTGTGCTTCTCTTTATACACACTGAAGGCCCTTTCTTTACATTAGTCATGTGCTTTCTGTTGTACTGTGTAAGGAGGGGAAGAAGCTCCACAGGTTTCCCATTTATGTCAATGCTGCACAGTCATCTACCAGTGCTCCCTATATCTATCACTCTAAAAATCAGCGTCATCTTTATTGTTATTCTTGCAAGACATAGTATTCCTCTTACGTCCTTAGCTGGGTAGAAGGATCACAGAGAGTTTCTCTGTAGTTTAGAGAGGGCCTTTGGACCTCTTAGATAACGATGTGGGAATGAAAAACAACCAGTATATTTAAAAAAAAAAAAAAGAAAAGAAAAGAAGAGTACGTAAAGCGTATCAGGCTAATACACATTTTTTTATCTTTGGTGGGACATTACTATGGGATGTGAACTTTGTCACTTTTGAACAGTGTTTGTAACAGCTGGGGCGACTGGTCCTGTGAGAGTGTCACTGGTCTGTTTTGTTCCTGCAGAACGTTGTGAAGCTGATGCGGGGACTCTTACAGTGTATGATGAGACAGGTAATGACATAGGCATGAGTTGATCTAGTACATGTTGCATTTACAATGTACAATCTCAAGCACGTATTTCTTGTGTCTTTTCTGTAGAGTGAGTTTTTTGCAAGTGTGCACATGGTGTTCTGGGGAGTATTTTTAAAACTCTGATCTTACTTGCACCTTTTTGAGATTGTGCTTGTAGAAAATCACAGTTTTGCCTTTGCAAATTGATTTTGACCAAGATGCACACCTGTATCCAAGATGTGAACCCAGTGAGGTAATTTCATCTTACTCTTTTCTGAAGAGATATAGATTTTGCTGGAGCCTAAAATTAGAGTTGTGTTTAAGCACTCTGATCAATCAAAACATGCTGAAGTGAGATAAAAGGAATTAGGACCTCAGGTTTCTCCTCACTTAAACGTTGTTCATTTTGAAGTAGTTTGGAGAATTTCTTCTAGAATGTTTCAGCTTTAAGATTTATGGTGTTTTTTAGGTTGATAAGGTAGAGAAGTTCAAACGCACGCAGAGTACCAAAGACTGCCTACATGCCAAGTATAACTCTGCAACTTGTGCCACTGTGGTTGGGGATGACCAGTGGGGGCATCTACAAGTAGATGCAACTTCCCTTTACCTGCTCTTCTTGGCACAGATGACTGCATCAGGTGAGCAGAAGATATTTTAGCCTTGACTTTTGTTGCAGTCTTTTTCTATTCTAGTTTTCATTTAAGAAAGGAACAACAATTCTAGCTAGCATGAAAGACCTGTGTGTATTTATAACTCAGAAGAAAGTTGTATTTCTTGGGAAAAGAGATGTGGCTTAGGCAGGATTTCATCTTTATAGCAACTGGCAGTGTCCATTCCCTTAATGTTTATTGGCATACAAAAACATGAAACAGAGTTGTGTCAGAGAAGAGTTTTTGTGTTTGAAGACTACATAGGATGTCCTAATGGACAGCCAGGTTTCTGCAGAGAGTCAGGTGCCACCAGTGCCACCTGTGTTCCTCTTTTTGCTGCCAGTGTTTTATCTTGTCCTCTTCTCGACTGAACTCCTGCGAGGGTGAGAATTTGTTTCCCTATGTGTTTTTCTGCCCTCAGAGCCACTTGTAGTTGACCCCTGTAGAGAGGTAGGGAGCTGTAGGAATTGGGATGTGCTACTCTAGAGAGCCAGAGCTGGCTCAGGTGTCTCTGCTTTGCACCCGTTGTGTCTGAATGCCACCCTCCCAGAGATGGATTTGGGTTGGTCTTTGAAGCTGTATGTGTTGGTGGCATTTGAAGTATTTTGTCAGCAGTGAGTGTTGAGGCTTGCTGCCTGATCTTTTGAAATCAGCAGGAGGTTTTCCATTGATTTCAGAGGGCAACAGTTGGTAGCAAATGAACAAACACGTGAAAGTAACTGAAGAGTAAATATTTCAGTTCTACCACAGTGTAATTAGTCTCTTCCCTTCTTTTAATCAGGGTTACGTATTATCTTCACCCTCGATGAAGTCACCTTTATTCAGAATCTTGTTTTTTACATAGAAGCTGCCTACAAAGTTGCTGTAAGTAGTTATTTATATGTAAATCACCTGAACACTGCTCATGTGGGGGTGGAAATCATTTATTGATGAAGAAGGAAAATACAGACTTATTTTTCCATGAGAAGATATCAGAACCTGTCAGTACTTTGCCTTGTGAGCAGCATCTTTGTAGATTGTGGGAGGGGTGTGGAGGATTTATGGCTACCTGGGTGAGGTATAATTGTTCTATCATAATAATAGTTTTTCTTTATTGATAGTTAATATTATTTCATGATGTCTCATTAAAATCTTAAGGGCATTTATAAAAAGAGGAGAGTGTTAACAAGTTTTTTTGGAAAGTTGGCAAGCTGCAGGGGCACAGGGAGGTGCAAGCACAGTGGGGAGGATAAAGGATTTTATGTGTTCTGTGAAAGCAGTGATTCGTGACTGCAGACCTGATCCTGCCGGGGTATATTTTTATGTGCTGCTCTTCAAACATGAGGAGTTTTGAAGTCTTTGGAGACTTGGAGATTTTTTTATGGTTTTTTTTAGGCAGATAAACTAATTTCATGCTGGGCTCTAGTTTTGTTGCAGGGTAAGGAGGGAAAACAATGTTTTTATATATAATCATGCCAATTTTTTCTTATCATGTTGTTGTTGCAGGACTATGGAATTTGGGAACGTGGTGATAAGACAAACCAGGGCATCCCTGAACTGAACGCCAGCTCCGTAGGGATGGCCAAAGTGAGAATGTCTTCCTGACCTTCCTTGGTGACTGTTCTGTCATGCTGAAGGGCTCTGACAAACCTGACAGCTTCCTTTGCATAGTCTTCTTGGCCACTGCGGTAGTTATCTGATTGTATAAGAGTTTTTGTTTGGGTGTGAGTGAGTATGTTTTTAGCGTAAAATCCTTGTGATAATGACTTTCATTAAAAGATCTCAGCACAGCTGTTGCAGGAATTGCAAGAAGGGTACCAGATTCATTGAAGCATGAATCTGATAGATGCAGTGAGGTGCAGTCTCATAAAGTGGCCTCTGGTTTTCTGTCTTAATTCTCCAGCCCCAGTATTACATGTGATTTTTTTCACAGTAAGATTAAGCCAGATGTAAATTCTGGAAAACAGCAGAATATCAGTCTAAGAAATTATTCACAAGTGATTTAGGAGAAAAACAAGTAAAGATGCACATAAAAAAGAGTGGATATTTCTGGTTCCCTCGTAGCACAAGGTCACAGATACTAAACGAAGCTCAGAAGGCAGTAAATGTAAATGTGTAATTGACAGCTACCTTTTACATGGTGGCTGGAGGACTGAAGGAAGCCGAATATCGTTAAGGTCAAAGGTGTGGTTGCTCCCTTCTTGGGACACCAGCCTCTGCTGATCCTGGGGCGCCTCGAACAAACCTTCCCCTTTGAATGGCCCTTCAGGGAGGAGGAGTGAAAGGCCACTGAATGGGGCTTATTTTGGACTGTAGGACAGGAGAAGCATTTATTATTAAGTATTTTAATACTGTCTCTGCAGAAGCATTATTTTGCATTGCCCTTAAATTGTAAGAAGGATCACTAGTCCTTTATACTACTAGCAGAAAGACAGAAATATTTATTTTTTCTAAAATATTGCCAGTATTTACTTTTTCGAAAATATTGCCATCTTCCCTTTAAAGATGACTTTCATCTTATGTAAGTTCCTTCAGAGGATAAGCACATGTACTAGGATGTATACTTGGCTTAAAAGATGTTCAATGATTTTTAGTTGTTTGTGGTTTTTTTTTGAAGGCTGCTTTGGAAGCAATTGACGAACTAGATCTTTTTGGAGCTCATGGAGGACACAAGTCAGTGATTCATGTTCTTCCTGATGAAGTAGAACATTGTCAGGTAATAATTAGTCTTCTGTTTCCTTTGCTAGGGGAAAACCCAACAGCCTCTCCCTTTTCTTCTAAGTGAAATGTTGATTAACTGAACCGAGAGCTAAACATAATAAGGACAGCTTCGGACTATGCTGTTAACTCTGTTTCTAGTGGATCATGCAAAAGTGAGAAGTGTGAAGCATTCTTGTTCTAACTCATTTAAAAATAGTTACGCAGTGAGTTCTCTGTCGGTTTGCAAACAGTGTAGTCTATTCCATTTGCATTTGACATAGTCTTCAGGAGTAAGTAAATTGTTCTAAATCACTCTCTTCTCTTCTTGTTTTGCTCAGTCTATTCTGTACTCCATGTTGCCAAGGGCATCCACATCTAAGGAGATAGATGCTGGCCTTCTCTCTATTATTTCTTACCCAGCTTTTGCAGTGGAAGATCTAAACCTTGTTAATGTAACCAAGAGTGAAATCATATCCAAATTGCAGGTAAGGATTTCTTTTGTTTTCCAGGGGGAGAGAGAAGCAGAAGGTCCCTTTGTTAACCAGAAATGCTAATTAAGCAAGAGTTGCCAGACTTGGTTCATCTATGCATGGAAGAGAGGGAGGGAAATCCCTAAGTGATGCTTGAAACTCAGCACATACTTTTATGCTGATGTTAGTTAGTGAGGAAGAACAGTATGAGATTTTCTATAATTCTGTTTGTTTTTACAGGGTCGCTATGGCTGCTGTCGCTTTCTCCGAGATGGTTACAAGACACCCAGAGAGGTACTTCTGCTGTGTATTTTCAGTAGACATTAGGAAGAATTTTGTATCTTAGTTGTAGACATTTTTTGTCTCATTTACATGGATGGGCGAAGTTCTGTATTGCCAGTAAGACATCGTAGTGGATTTGGAGGTAACCCAGGTATCCACCCTAGAAATAACACATATCTGAAGGAGACTAAGGGTTTGAAAACCAATTATTAAGCACAGAACTTAATTCATGATTCTCGAAGAAATTAGCCCTTAGATATAGTTGTGGTGCCTAAACAGAAGTGGTGTCTCTGAGATGTCGCAAACTATCTTTGAACTGAGGCAGATCCAGGATTTTTGGGTGACACCTAGGTTCTGAGACTGGGAAGGGTCAATTTGTCTAGGGAACAATTAAATGAGTGTGAGACTCAGTTTGAGAAAGAAGTCGAGAGACTGAGTGGAAACTCTTTCTGGTGTTTTTAGTGATTTCTTCATTTTAATTATTTGTTTAAAATAAGCCACCATTATGATTATCATGCGAGTGACTAATTTAGCACTGTGACTAAATGAGTATGATTGAATTTCTAGGATCCAAGCAGGCTGCACTATGATCCTGCTGAGCTCAAACTTTTTGAGAATATTGAATGTGAGTGGCCAGTATTCTGGACATATTTCCTAATCGATGGAGTATTTAATGAGGACAAAATTCAGGTGAGGAAAGAAGTTACTTTCAATGGAAACGCAAAGCCATTTACCCACAGTATTTTGTAGCTTTGGTCCGTGTTTATTTTGGGCATCAGTTGAATACCCCACCAGCAGGACGGGAGTAGTCTCCAGCCAGTCTCACCTTCCTGGGGAGTTCTGAACATGGTAGAAGCTGAAGTGTTGTGCACACTGAGGCTTCATTGCCCTTTCTCTACTGGATTGAGTGGATCTGTTAGCTGGTGGGGTCAAACTGGGCTGAGCAGGGTTTATTTGCCTGGTACTGTCCTATCTCACCAACTTTGATGCCCCTTTCCCAATTACTTCAGGATGAGATGAGCTTTGTTTTCCCCTGACCTCTGTGGCTTGGATGCTGAGAGTAAGATTTATACTACTTTCCCTCCTTTCGTACATTCAGGGAGGCTTGGGGATGGATTATGAGAAACCCTTTCAATTTCCCTAATTCAGTAAGTTACTTCTTGTCTTTATTGTATGAAGCATCCAGTGGTTGGGGGAGCTAAATTGGTTGTAGCCCTCCAAAGGTCATAGTGGCACCTGGAGAGTATTGGTGAATTAAAGAACGACAGGTAGGCAGGGCTTTATGTATTCGTAGCACGACTTCTGTGGGTTGGTGGCTTGAAGAAGTTAAAAAATACATGTAATTTAGTATCACCTAGTATGTAGAGGAGCAGGAGATTGCTAAATATAACCCCTTAACAATTAAAATGACATCAGGGAAAAAGCAGAGAATTTCAGACCCAGAAGCCCTCTTTCTGTATCAGATGTTGTAAGTTAATTGAAGTACTTACTGACAACAGAAGTGTATATTGCTTTCCTGAACATGGCAAAAATAGTCTGGTGGAGAGAGAAACGGCATTATTTCATCCGGGGGAAAATCAGAACGTTTACTGAAACTTCAGTCACGGCAATGAAAGACCACTTCACAAAGCAGTCTCTAGAACTTATTTGCTTTATCTGGGAGGGTGTGTACCTGGTTGCCTTTAGGGTGTGCAGATGGGCTGTGCGGGACCATGGTCAGAGCAGGAAAGTGCTCCCAGTTCCCACCATTTAAACACCTCTGAATGAGGCCCTGTGACACTTGGGCGAGAGTCTAGTCTTCCGCAGTTACTGCTGCAAATGGTGGTTACAACGGCAGCAGTTGTTAGAAAAACAAGCAGCTGAGGATGTAAAAATAGTGGAGAAGGACAGGATACTGAAGATACCAGTGTACCATAACATGAACTGGGTACCTCACTTTTTGTGTTCCCCTATACTGAGAAAGAGATAGCAGAAATAGGATTTCAGAGGCAGGTACTGGTAGTGCTTGGAAACAGCTTCCCTGTAAGTAAAAACTTGGAATGGGATAATTAAGAAATGGAACAAAATAAGAAATCTGGTAAAAAGAGTATTAAATGTTCTTTATTTTGGATCAGTCTGGTATTCTTGTTCAGAATGTGTTGTCCAAGAATACAAGAGGATAACTTAGATATTTTTTAAACAGTTTAAATTTAAAGTTTCCATGGGGCAAATTTGTAAGTGAATCAGTTAAGAGAAGGTGATTTCCCAGTCCTGCAGAGCCGAATTCAGAAGATCATAGACAAAGGTGTTTGGTAGAAAGCTAAGAATTTATATACCTTACACTTTTATGGATATTGATGTGCCTGCCACTCATGTCATGGTGTTGTCATACATCGCAAATTTCATGTAGGAATTGTTTCTGTGAATTCCTGGTAGGAACATGTTAAAAGTTTTGTACTGTAGTGGTGTGTTAGAGATTAAAGACACGTTCATGTTTCTGAGGCTGATAATACTGAGATGCTGGAACAGTTTCTGAGAATTTATACTCCAGTCTTCCATCAGCAAATCATGGGGTTTTATTTTTTTTAAATGATCTTTCAGCAGAAAAGTACTGTTGGAAAGTACTATAACTTTACTATTTTGGTTTTGCTGACTGTAGCATGAATTTTTCACTCTCTTTTAAAAATACTTCCAGGTGCAAGAGTATAGAGAGGCTCTGGAAGGAATACTGATTAGAGAGAAGAACGGAATAGTGCTAATGCCCGAACTGTATGCAGTCCCTTCAGAAAAGGTATTGTGAAAATACGGCATCTGCTTCCGTATGCAAAGTATAAATATCAAGATGAATGTCGGTTTTGTAGTTTTCCTGTAGCTGATAAACCTAAACCAGCAATAAAAAAAGACTGCTGCACGTTATTTAAAAACTAAGAGACCTCTTAGCTCAGTGGTTTGAGCAGCGGTGCTGGCAACAATGACCAACACCGAGGTCGCGGGTTCTATTCCCGCTCGGTCCCCATGTGTTGCCTGGTCTAGTCGAGAGGTGGCGTCCCTGCCCATGACAGGGAGGTTGGACTAGATGATCCCTAAGGTCCCTTCCAGCCCATGCCAGTCTATGATTCTATGATTCTATGAACTGAACCTCTCGCAGCTCCCATTGGGCAATGGTAAACTTCAGGCTTCCAAATGGTCACATTTTTTGCTTGGGAATCTGGGTCCCTGTGGAAGTGTTGGAGCGGGTCTAAAGTTTTACGTCCGTATAGCAAGATAGATATTTAAGTAGGAGCATCAGCAGCTCGTGTCTTGCTTGCAGATCTGAGGGGGAAACTGAATTGCCTTCCTTGTGAGAACACGCATGTGAGAGTGCACAACCTTCTTGGGAATTTTGATGTGAAGATGATCTGATGAACCTGCCAAATACAGTAAAGATGTTATATAGGAGGGCTTTTTCCCTGCCCTCAATAGACCTGTACACTGCAAAGCCAAGACAGCTTTTCTAAATTAATAGGAGTCTAGTCTTAATTTTTACGTTGACCATTCTTGCCAACACAGGAGAGGTGGACTAGCCTTCATTTTTGGAAGGTGCATTTACTTCAGAAGGTGAAGTAGACTTCAGTGAAGTTCAGGTGTCATCTTGCAAGGGATGGGAAAGTGGACACACAATTACCTACAAGCTGCCTAGAGGGAAGGCAGCAAAGGCACGGTGACGAGAGGGGCAGTGCTAACAGCAAAGCCATAATGGCACACAGGGTCCCGTTCAACCTCCAGCTTTGAAGGGTAGGGTAATGTACAAAAGAGAAGCATAGTTCTTGTCCCAGAAAACTTGCAGCCTCAAAAGCTAACCCAAGAGATCTCAATGTTGCTGATAATAGCAGGTTAGAAAGGGTAGATGATAGGTCATGTTTTTTCAAATAGTTCACAACTTTAGGGTAATTTTTTGTGCTTATGCATTTGTTTTCAGGTGGATGAGGAGTATGAAAATCCTCACTCAGTGGATCGTGTCCCAGTTGGAAAATTGCCTCATCTATGGGGCCAGTCGTTGTATGTCCTTAGCTGCCTGTTAGCAGAGGTAATTGTTTCCTATATAGTAGTTGAGCTTGTATTTGTTTTGAGATTTGTTTTGCTCAAACCAGGACAAGATGGCTTGGACTTTACAGTTGGTTTGACAGGTAGGGGACAATGTGTTTTCCAGTAGGAAGATGTAGATTAACAGTGGAGAGGTGACTCTGACCTTTCAGCTTTTCAGCTGGATATATGGTTAGACTAGAGGAATACACCCAGGCTGACTTTGCTATCCCAGAGCTAGAATTTTGTACTGTCATAGAATCTTAGAATGAAAATTGGTTAATAATTCTGATAGATGTCATCAGAAGCCTGTAACTTTTTTTTTCTTGTTTCCTTTTGTGTTTTTTTTTCTGTCTTTTGAATTTGTTCTAGGGATTTCTTGCTGCGGGTGAAATCGATCCGTTAAACAGGAGATTTTCCACTGGTTTTAAGCCTGATGTTGTGGTACAAGGTGAGGGAGTTTTTTGAAAGTTCTGGGTGAATCGGATCATGTGATGGTGGTCCCCATGTACAGGAGGGAAGAAAGACGTGTTTAAATTGTGTGGATTTTTGCGTGGGATGTCATGGATACTGTGAGGAGAAAGGGATTGTGTGCCTAGCTGCCTTTTTCCAGGAGGGAAGGTCAGGTTTAACAACCTTTTTTTTTTTTTTTCCTTTTCTTTTTCTTAAATATTTATTAAAATTGTAAGACTTATCAGGAACTGAAGAGTACCAAACTTAATCTTGTAGTGAAAAGGAAAATCTTGGTGGATTCTAAGAAGAAAGAGCAGGAATCTGGTCACTTTAGTTAGGTTTCTGTACAACCCCTTCCTGGAGGAACTGGAAAGCAGTGAGTGGGGAGGGAGGATCTCTGTACGCAGCGATGAGGCAGCCAGTGTCTGCAGGGAGTGGCTTCCTTAGTCAGTGCAGGAGCAGCCAAACTCAGAAAGTTAGAGAGAGGGCAAACAGTACCTGCTCAGGGCTTAAAGGATTTTCAAGGGTCTGCACTGCTGTGGAAAAACAATGAGCTCATTTAGACAGGAGCGGCCTTCTCAGTGATACTGTGGCCCGGGAAGGTGCTTGTTTACTCCCTGTTGGTGTTTTGTGGGAGTGACTTTTTGTTATTCTGAAGTGCTTAATTTCTAGTAGAAACAGAAGTCCTTGCTTATTGTTAGTGTTGTTTGACAAGTATTTATAATGCAAAGAATACCAGAATATTGGTCTCAAACCAATAAGCCACTTAATGTGGACAAAAACCTCAATCAGGACTCAAGGTGGGATCAGGGCCTGGATTGTAAATTCCTCTTATTTTAGGACTCTTTTTTTTTTTTTTTTTTTTCTGCCCCACTTCTGCCATTTTATGGCCTGTGTAACATTTATTGCTATACAAGTAACAGCACCTGTTGCCCGTTGACTCAGCTGTGTTGTTACAGTGTTCTATATGAAAAGAACAAAGGTTTTCAAGTCAGGTTTCCCCTTGTTTTATGGAGGAAAAGCTGCTAAAAGAAACTGCGTGAGCCAAACTAGTGGTACTGAAAGGGATCAGAAGAAACTGGTAAAGCCCTAAAGAACCTGGTCTGACCTCAGAGCTGCCCTTGATTTGGGCAGGAGGTTGGAGTAGAGACCTCGTGAGGACCCTTCCAACTTGAATTACTCTGTGGTCCAAAGTGGGTGGGAATGGCAGGACATGTTTAGAAGCAGAGCGCCAATATCTGTCTGATGCCCTCTTAAGATCCCTTTTGAGCTCACGGGCTCGTAAATTAAGAAGAGGGGCCTTTGTGCCTTTTTAGTCAACTAAATACATTAGGTGAGAGGTAGAGGCATAGGATTAGAACCTTGGTTCTTACTACTGTTTTTGTTTTCTATTATGCAGTAACTGTTTTGGCAGAATCTAATCAAATTAAGAATCTCTTGCAAGACCGTGGAATCAATGTTCAGAGCATTTCTGACATCCACCCACTCAGAGTGCAGCCAGCTCGCATCCTGAGTAACCTCTACACCATGCTGGGTAGGTATTTGAGCATGGAAGCTTCTCTCTACTGCTGTGCAAACTATTTTTTTTTAAGGATGGTGTTTTGGTTTTTGTTTTTCTTGCTTCACACTGTTTAAATTTCTTTGATTTAATTTCTCTTATTTTGATTGTTTTCCTTTATTTAAAAAAATGCATTTTTGCAAAGAAGCTTAACAAAATTAGAACTTGTGTCATAAATGAGGGACTTCAACAGAAAAAAAAAAAAATGCTTCCTTAGAAAAGCTGGTGAAAATACAAGTTTTCCTGGGTCCTTGGAGTTAGAC